CCTGAGGTACGCCACTAGGTGACGTATACCAGTCTGTACAGTGGTCGTTTACTCTCACCTTCCAGCGTCGGTCATGCAGGAACGATTTGAGCCAACGAGATAAATCCCCTCCTATACCGTAGCCCTGTAGTTTTTTCATCAGTTCAGTGTGGTCTGCCCTATCGAACGCTTTACTAAAGTCCACTAATATAACATCAACAGCATGCCCAGCGTCAACAGCGGCTAACCAGTGATGACGAGCAGTGAGCATGTTGGTCACACAAGAACGGCCGCGAAGAAAACCGTGTTGTGCCGGCGTAAGAATTTGAAATTCATCCAGCATATGCAACAGAGCCTGCTTCACTATCTTTTGCAGAACCTTGGCGAGTATGGGAGTAAGGCAGATTGGACGGTAATTTGTGACTCGAGAAAGATCTCCGCCTTTGGGGAACGGCCGAACAACTGAGTCTTTCCATTCCTGAAGCAGCACACCTTCCGCAAGGGATTTATTGTATAGAGCTGTGACTGCAGGTGCAATGACTGGTGCTAATGTCTTCAGAATTACGGGATGGAGACCATCAGGACCAACGGACTTTGCAGTATTGAGCGACAGAAGTAGGGAACACACCTTTTCGGTGCAACACACCAACGAATCCAATCTAACCGCGCAGGAACCAGTATGACTGTCTCTTGAGGGGTTTGTGGCATATACAGGAGAAAAGTGGCAGGCAAACTCAGTGGCCCTCGCGGAGTCTGAGGTGATAATATTACCATCTTGATCTTGTATGTACGGTAGCTCATCAGAGGACTTGAAATTTCTGTTGACATAAGCAAAAATCCTTTTGGGCGTTGTTTTGACCGATTCGGGGAGAGTTTTCATAAGCTTGGCGTTTTCTCAATTTCATAAAATTGCATGAGTTACGCTGTGTCTTATAAGTTGCATAATCCACGGGATCACGAGACTGTCTATAACGTTTCCACAGTTTTCGGCGGCGTTTGGTCAACATTACAAGCTCTCGATCGAACCAGGTTGGGCGACATCGATTTGATTTGCAATGTCGGAAACTGATATCCAATCTTTGCTCGGCTTGAGTAAATAGTAAATCTAGGCAGGAAGGAATCTGATAAGGCAGAGACCGCGTCGGTTGATGTGATGCCAGTATCAATCCCATTTCTAGCATCGTATTGAGAAATGTGGTCTCCAAGTCAGTACAA